CTGCTGATTATTCATGTGTGCATGTGTTGAATGCATAAAAGCATCCAGAAAATATTGTAATATGTCTTTTATATAGGTGCTTCTGCATGAATTACAGGGTCCTTATTCAACTGAGACTTGTACACACCAGAGTTCTTTGTTAAAGATGCATGCTCCCTGTACCTTTACAACATCTGCCACTTTAGAGTGATTGCATTCAAGCTTTGGGGACCATCATGGTGTAAAGATAAATTCCAGTGCAGTATAAGCTATCTAATCCATTATAGATCTGCCAGAATTAACAAATACATCATTAAAACTCACCAGCCTAAGTATCTATTTTGTATGTCATTAAACATACACCCCTTTTCATGTATATGTTTGTATACCTGAAGTATATATATAATCATTAGCATCGTTTAGAAAAATAAAGCCAGGAGAAACTGGAATTCTTACTTATAATTTAGATGTCAGTGTTGTAACTCGGCTGTTAGAATTTGAAAAGCATATGTGTAATAAGCATCTCTGAGGGTAAATTGGATACAAATCTTACTGGAGTGTATATTACTAAGTGTAGTGTCTGCTAAGCAGTCCTCTCTGTTAGCTTTTTTTTTTTTTGCTGTTAATTGTTCTTGTTGTCTCCTTGATTGCAGGAGTTTAATCCTGATACAGATTTGATCCTGACCTGATTATTGTTCAGCCTAGGGAAACAGCAGTCCTTTGCTCAAGGAGGGTGGGGAGTTGCTTCTGTTCTTCCCGATTAGGCACATTCTAAATGAAGACAGTCTTACTTTTATCTAGTTTCTCAGCTTGATCTAGTGTAGAAGTTATTTGACATACAACTCCTCTTTTCCCCCCTTAATAACACCCCCCCCCATTTTCCAGAAAGATCTTACTGGTTTGTAGTCATTACCAGAGAATTAAATTAAGGCATTGTTCTCCCCACTTCCCAATTATTAGGAACCTCAGATGTCTTATCAGATAATCCTTGTCTTTTGGCAAGCCTTGCGTCTCCCTGATACCACTATAAAAGCCTGCTTCCTTTTTGAAGAAGTTGAGGTTTAGAGTCTAGGCAATCCCAAAATTAAATTTCTTTAATTCCCACAAGTTAATTTGACTGCATTTCTTCCTAAAAACATGAGATCGTATGTTATCTTTCTAATTAACACATGTATCAGTCAGTTTAATAGGCCCAGAATCTGGAACAAAGTTCCAGGATACAAAAAACCCCTAGAAGCCTGATGTTAAAAATAATAGTTGTTTGTTTATTCAGTGGACATTTTGAACTGGCCCAGTGAATATCTGGACAGTTTTCCAGATTACAGCTTTTCACACCCTGATGCATCTTTGGAAATAGTTGAATTGAGAAGTAACTGTTGTCTGGATCCTTATCAAAGCCTTTAAGGCTGGATCAGTGTGGACAGTTATGAGAAAAGTCAGTTCGTGTACTATATCTTGCCTAATAAAATGCAACATCCTTATTCCCATAACTATAGTGTTCCATGATAGCAGTGTTTTACTAGAATAGTAGAAACGTTGGTCCAATAAGTTTGTGGGAATACAGAATATCTTTGGCAATGTATCTTGGTGTCTGGGGGTCAGACCTTCTGCCACTACACTTTCTTCCAAGGAGACAGAGGCCTCCAGACTGTGTCAAGGAAACCATCCAGGGAGGGCTGCAAAAGCCCAGACTTCCCAGCTCACCACAACACCCAGATACTCCAGGCAGGGCAGGGGCTGGCCAGCAGTCAACCCCCAGGGGCCACCAGCAGAGGCACAAGGCAGGCAGAAGAGCAGCAGAACCCACCACAAGCGGTGGCCCTTTCCTCATCTGTTGTGTGAGCCAAGAAGGATTCTTTGGAAGGGCAGGGCATGAAACTGGCTGCAGTGTCCTCCTTAGGCCAGCAGGGCCAGAGGAGAAGCCTTATAAGGCTTCCAATGGGGGAGGGGAAATGGGATCCCAGGGACCTGCCACTCCCATAGGCCCATCCTTCAGGACAGGAGTGGATGAGGCCAGAGTTGTCCCACCCCCAGTCAGTCCTATAAAAGGTACACCCTTTATTTACTTTATTTACCTAAGAAAAACTAAAATACTGTATGAACCACCAGTGACTATAGGGTCTCTTGGTGCTGAAACTTCACCAATATCTTGTCAGATGATGAAATTCAGTTGCAGAATGCTTCATGAATGTAAAAAGTAGTGATTTGCCTTGTTGAATTCCTGGTTGATGATTGATAAATAAGAAATCATTAATACTGTCAATTCCTTTTTCAGTTCTGCCTATGACAATATCAACAAAGTTCGGGTGGCTATAAAGAAAATCAGCCCTTTCGAACACCAGACTTACTGCCAGAGAACTCTGAGAGAGATCAAAATCTTACTGCGCTTCAAGCATGAAAATATTATTGGAATCAATGACATTATCAGAGCTCCAACAATTGAACAAATGAAAGATGTGTATCCTTCAAAGATATAAGTACTTCTGTTTGCTTGCAGCACTTCGATCTGTGTAGCTTTTTTATCATTTATCTTGATACTATCTGAAACTGCATTAGCATGGAAGTCATTCAAGTTGGGATAGGGCAGTCAATAAGTCGAAGTAGTAGTAGTAGTAGTAGTAGTAATAATAATTTTATAGCAAACTCAGTTTGCTGTTTCTCATTTAACAGTTGGGCTTTTGTTTGCCAGCTGTAACCAGGATTAACTTTTTTATTTATGGTCCAGCTTTCTTGCTGAGATTCATGGTGGATTGCACAATGTACATTAATGCAATCAATAGAATGATCATCTAATAAAAAAAATAATAGGACTAGGAATTACAGAAATTTGAAATGGAGCTGTCATCTAAAAACATTAATCATGACATGTTAAACGATGCAGAACATGGTATTACATCAGTAGAAACACAGTGCATTTTCCTGGTGCAGTTTATTATGATGTAGTCCTATTTCCTCTACAAAAATGCCCACCTGAACAATTTCACATAGATTGTGAAATGCTAACAGTGTGGGAGCCTTTGAAGATCTTTGTAAATGCATTCTTCTCATGTATGCTTCTAGACTCGTAATACACTATGACTAAAATAATCATTCTTGTCAAAATTCCCATACGAGAAAAAAAAATGAAGGGCCGCATCAATTGGAGCAAAAACAGTGATGAAGTGGGAAGAAAACTTTTATTCCCAAATATTAATAACCCCTACGTGTTTTATGTTAAGCTTCCTCAGGGGGATCCGTGGAATATAAACGCAGCAATGTTCCCGCTAAACCACATGTCCTAGCCTGATATGATCATATCACACGGGTGGTTAGAACATGAGTAAAGTCAAATGCAGTCAACAGACTTGGGAGATCCAGTAAACAGTGCAATAGGGTTTGGAGTGCAAAACCTGAAACGGCTGTAACAAACCTGAAACTATGCATTTAAACATGACATGTTAAGCGATGCAGAAATTATGTAGTAGGAGCATGCTTATAGCAACCGACAGAACATAGTAGGATAGTCCACAATCCCTGTCCCTTTACCAAAGCATCTTTCTGAACCATTTCATTACAGTACCAGTGCCATTACCTGTGTAAAAAAAGCTCCCCTGAATAGTTGAAGTTTTGCATAATTTGTGGAGAGTGGAAACCCTCCTAAACTTTGTCAGACAGGCCATTATGTAAGATGAGGGCTATAGCAGAGAGTGCGTGTGTGCAGGCATTTTGCCCATTTGCAGGGTGGCACCTACAAAAGGCCCTGCTCAGATGAGCAGAGCTGTTGTGGCAGAGCATAGGGAGAAGCAGTCCCACAGATGTGTGGGACAGAGGCCATGAAGGGCTTTGTATATGATAGGCAACATCTTGAATTGGGCCCAGTAACTGATGGGCGGTCAACTGAGTGATTGTAAAACGGGAGTAATGTGCATGCTCTGCCCAGCTCCTGACAAGAACTGAGCTGCAGCCTTCTGAACCAACTGGGCTCTCCGACGTAGAACTGGCTTAGAATTTTAATACTTGCAGCAGCCTTAACAATTCTGCTAAAGTCTGGCTACTTGGCAAATTTTAATAGGCCTTATTATATTCAAATCCTGAGCCCTCTGATGAGATAATTATATCGGCTTGGATTCCACCCAAGCTTACTGCAGGCAGCAGGCATTTTTGCCAGCGAGCATAACTCTCTTCTTCTCCTGAAGTTCCTCCTGAAATGCTGCTCCTGGTGGGGAGAAGGGGGAACCTTGGAAGAGCATGAAGGAAAAGTTAAAAGGCTGCTTCAGGAGGGGGGAAATCGGTGAAAATAAATCCTCCACGTACATGGATCTGTTTGGGATTGGGATCCAAAATTCCATTTTGTGGGATTACTTGGTCTTAAATAGGATAGCTAGGGCAACTGATGAAAGGCTTCCTCGTATCTTAATGATACAGCAGTTTTGTATTTTCTGCTTTCCTGTGTGGAAATCGGTTGTAAGCTGTGTGACCTCAATTTCTGGAATAAAATTGTGGCTTGTTTGCCTTAGCTTGATGTACAGATACATTGTGCAAGATCTCATGGAGACGGACCTTTACAAGCTCTTAAAGACTCAACATCTCAGCAACGACCACATCTGTTATTTCCTTTACCAGATCCTGAGAGGATTAAAATATATCCATTCTGCCAATGTGCTGCATCGTGACCTCAAACCTTCCAACTTGCTGCTAAACACCACTTGTGATCTCAAGGTTAGCGAGAACATTTTTGTTAATTCAGCGCCTTTCGTAATCATGGGACCACAATCCCCCCCCCCCCAAATCTAGATACTTAGAGACAGCTATGCTCTGGTGATGTCCAGGCTAGATTTTGTGGGTTCACAAAAGCTTTTCTGTCCATGGAAATGCTCCAGCAGCTCCAAGCTGTTGTAATATATTATACATGGAACTGTCTTGAAAGTGTCCAGGCACTTCAGAATATAGCAGCTGATCTGGATGCCCCTTCCATCTGAGATCAGGCATATGGCAACGGAGGTCTTTTCTGCAGTATCACTCTGTGGTGCCCTCTCATCACTCAGGTGTCAGATGAAGAGTATCTTCCAAAGTTTTTGACTGATTACACTATAATTTGTTAGATTTCTTGCTGCTAGATTTCTTGTTCTATTTTTATATGTTGTACTGGTTTATTTTAAAAAAACATTATGTAAGCTATCTTGAACACTGTACAAAAAGGAAAAATATTTTAAATAAAAAGCTGGCATAGCACAGCGAGGGGGTATTCGCACCTTGTACTGAATTTTGCCGTCTGTAGCAGAGTCTGGTGGCTCAAGCGTTGGCTTGCAAGGCAGTTATTAAAATATTGCAGGTAAAAACCATAAATACACCCCTACCCTCAAGATACCTGCTGTTCATACCCCCTCAAAATCCTTGGCAAACAAGCCTTGCAGCACCTCCTGAAGATATCCAATATGGTAACTCCCCATAGCTCTTCAGGGAGCCTGATTCACACTGCGGGGGTTGTGATAGATAAGGCCCATATTCTTATCAGTGTCAGGCATGGCATCCTGAGTATTTATGCCAAGAAAGGTATTTGGATTGGATTGCATCCTGAGTGGGGGAACAGCCTGCAGGTGTCAGCCTAAAGACCATAATTGGAGAAGACAGTCCTTCAGATAAGTTGGCCCCAGGCTGTAAAGGGCATTAGAGATTATAAACTAGCACCTTAAATTGAACTTGGAAACAAACCGGTAGCCAGTGAAACTTTCAAAATGGACAATGCATGTTCCCATTGGCTAGCCCTGACAGTAATTAGGCTGCTGCTGCTTTCAGGACCAGCTGCAGTTTCTGGGTTGTCTTCAAGGACAGCCCAACATAGACCATGTTACACTGTACCAGCTACAGAGGTGCAGAAGGAGGTAGAACAGCATGGCCAGATTGTGTCTAAAAGGAGAGAGTTGGGGAACTAGATACAGCTGGATAGAAGGTGCTCTTGGTCACTGCGCCAGTCTGCATTTTTAAACAGCGAGGCTGGCCCATGAGTATCCTCAGGCTCTTAACCTGCTCTGCAAAAGCCAACACCACTTTACCCAGAGAAATGGATCCAACTCTCTAGAACATCGGCCTTCCTGATCAGCATTACTTCTGTATTGCTGCTTGTTCTGCATTAGCCATTTCACCACCTTACCACCTTTGTTACCTTTTGCTTAGTTCATTCTTTAAAAAACAACAACCAACCTCAGGTTTTTTAAAGCATAGCCGTAGCGTACTGAACATTATTCTTTTTCCTTCAAGAGTAATTTTTCAGAGGGCTCCAAAGTATTTTCTGTAGTTTTATGCATATATACACGAAAGTTTAAATGTTTTTAGAAGTTCCACTGAATTCCTTAATAACATGCTACACTGTTTATACAATTTCTGCATTAACACAGATTAAAATTGTGTGGATAAACCTATCTGATAATCTATGTATACCCTGTTCCTGGTGTTTTTCCACACCATTTTCAAGGCTGCCCCTTCATTTCAGGAATCTGAACTGTTCCCAGGCTTACCTGAAGGGATCCTCTGTGCAGCTGCACAGCTGTAGAGAAAAACTTGGAAATACTTTGTCTGTCTGCACGCTAAGCAATACATTATAGCTTCTGTTGTGTTTTTAAAATTATGCTGGTATACCCATTCTACAGGTTTTCTTTGCCTAGCATGTAAGGAGAGGCAAGGACTTAATTTAAAGGGATGAGGAATCCAGATTGTCAGGAGCGTGAAAGAAAGTCCAGAATTGATTGAAAATGAGGCAGATGCAGGAGGCCTGGGGGGGGGGGAGAATGGAGGGTTAAGGTTCCAAAGAGTGGTGGCCATGGAATGTGGAAGAACGCTCCATTTGCTGCTTTAGGTTAAACTACTGAGAAACAAGAAAAAGGGCTGCAGGGTTTTGAAGAGGAGAAAGCGATTGGCTGTGGTTGATGCTAATAGCCCAGAGTGTGGGGCACTGGATAGTTAGGGGGCAAGGGTTTACTGTGGTGCAGGCAGTGTTGTCTGGCAAGCTCCCCACACACACACACACACACACACATCAGGTACTTTGTACATGAATGGATGACTTGTTTGCTCTTTTTTTAAAAGCATTTTTGTGTGCTGTGATGTTTTTCCTGTTTCCTTAATATGCATAGTGAGACCTGTAAATGCTCATACGTGTAAATGCGGAAAGCTGTCTGCAAAACAGACTGTACATTTGCTTTCTATGTTATAAAGCTTATATTACATCATGTGAAACTGCAAAGATCATGGTAAGCCGTATAAGTGTTTACTATAATGCCTTTGTTCTGTTATTAGATCTGTGATTTTGGATTGGCTCGTGTAGCAGATCCAGATCACGACCATACTGGCTTCTTGACAGAATATGTAGCCACACGTTGGTACAGAGCTCCTGAGATCATGTTGAATTCTAAGGTGAGCAGCAAGCTGTGTGCTGGGAAAGGTGAAATATGTGTTTGTGCCATTCCTGTGCTGTGTACTGCAGTAGAATATCCTCACATATCAGGTAAAGCATTGTTGTGTGAAGCCGTTGACTCTTGTTTTGGGAATCCAGGTATCCTGTAGCCACTGGCAGCTAAAAATATGTGCCTTGTTTTTGTTCCATATATGCTGTCTGTACAGCCTAATCTGTGCTTCCTATAAATCCTTAAATCATTCCTGCATTCACATACCACAAAAAACTCTGTTCATAATACGCATGAACCTTGTTAGTAGTTGTTCTGCTGTTCCTCTGTTCTGCTGTACCCTCTGTTCTGCTGTGCCTAGTGCATGGAAGACTTTCTGACAGAATTTCTGCCTGCAGAAGTATTCGCTCTGTTTCCTGTTTGTCTCATATCTGAATCTGGGTGCCTGGACAAACTGCGAATTTTTTCTCCTTGCAAATGGGGATTCGCAAAATAATTCAACTGTAATTTAGAATTCTGGTTTGTGGGGGGACATAGGTGCTCGGGTGCCAGGATGAGCTACTTCACTTTATGGGCAGTGGGTTTATGGAATTCACTGCCATGAAGTGCAGTGATGGCTACCGACTTACTTGGATGTTGGACCAAGAGGACATGTCTATCATTGGCTATTGGCCATGATAGTTAGATGGGACCTCCAGGTTCATAGGTAGAATGCCTGTGATTGTCAGATACAGGGGAGCAATCTGTAGGTGAGGGCTATTACCTGTAGGCTTGTCTGTGGCCTCTGATTAGCCACAGTTGGAAACAGGATACTCTAGCGTGGACCATGGTATCATAGATGGTGGGGTCAGATCCAGCCAGTTTTGTCACTTTGTCTCAGCCAGTTCCATCCTGACAGCCCCTGTCCCATGTGACTTGGGTATATGTGGGTTCAGGGGGCGGGGTCAGTTCTTCAAAACTTACTGCCAGCTCTGCTTTTTTTTATCAGTGTGGTAGAAAGTAAGGAATTATAGCAACCCTGACTTTTTAAATCCAGCAGTGCCATCTTAAACAGAATTGTATCCTTTGAAATCCATTGGTTAAACTGTTTAGGATGGCACTGTTAATCTCTAAATGAGAGTATTTATATGGGATCGTGGGACGCAAGAACTGACTGGATTGGCAAAGCAAACTAAAGTATAAGACAGGTGGGATCACAGACACTCTGAAGCTTTAGCAGTGGGTCCCCACATACACATTGAATACTTTGGCAATTGGTATATTAAACTGTAGAATGTTTAACAGTACAGAAAGTGATACCAGGAAGTTTTTTTTTTTCTTCCTGCCGTTTAGGGTTACACCAAATCTATTGACATCTGGTCTGTAGGCTGTATTTTGGCAGAGATGCTGTCAAACAGACCCATCTTTCCAGGAAAGCACTACCTTGATCAGCTGAACCATATCCTTGGTAATGTTTTTATATATTAAGTATATGATTGCCTTGATCTATAACCTGCTAGTCTGATCACCCTGTATTTTTTATTTTAAAACTTATGTGATATTTCTCCTGCTTTGTATGTAACACTGTTGCTTTTATAAACAAGGTTGCAGACCCCTGGAAGCTTCTGGTGTGAGCTGCATTGTCATAAATGGGAAACAAGGAAAACAAAAATAAAGAAATATGTTCTTTACTCAAAAGGCTTAAGGCACACACACACCCCTCAAATAGGTTACTAGATTTATTTAGGAATAGGAGCGCTTTTCAGTAATTTACCGGTAGTCCTAAATTGTGATTTTAAATTTATGCGTTCTATTTTTTTGATTCTATCTATATTGTAAATTGCCTTGAGTTCCATAAGGTAGAAGGGAGACTAATACATGTTTTAAATAAATAATTTTTCATTTTATGGAAACAATTGTTACAATGCATAATCTAGCCAAAGGTAACACTTCATAGTGATTTCCCTGGGGGAGAGTTTTGCCAGACTACGGGTACTCAGTCATGGTATCTTTAAATCCTGTTCATTGTACACGCTTACTCAGACACACCCCACTGAATTAAAAGGAATTTACTCTCAAGTAAAGGGGCATTGCCCTGACCTGGATGGCCCATGGTAGCCCAATTTCATCAGATCTCAGAAGCTAAGCAGGGTCAGCCCTGGTTAGTATTTGGATGGGAGGCCACCAAGGAAGTCCAGGGACACTACAGAGAGGCAGGTAATGGCCAACCACCTCTGAACGTCTCTTGTCTTGAAAACCCTATGGGGTCGCCATAAGTCAGCTGCAACTTGACGGCACTTTCCGCCATGGGATGTGCATAGGGTTACATCCTTACGGTGATTTCTCATTTGCAGAGCATGACAGGTCCATAGAAGATGGGTATTTTTAATGAAATTAAATCCAGATCTCTAGCATCCTTAGAGAAAGGAGCCCCATACCCAGAATGGACCTTCCTTGGGCCATCTTGATTTGGCACACCTTCTGTTGCCATGGGATCCAAACATCACTCCATTAACAGGATTTTTTAAAAAAGATACAGGGTTGGATACAGACTAAATTGGCAATTTCCACCAATTCCCCCTTCCTATTGCAGGACCCCCCATGTCATTCCTCAGGACCACCTGTCCCTCAGGAGCAGCATTTCTTAGAGACCTGTGACTGCAGTGGGAGGGGGAAGGCAGGAAAGTTCCTTTCTGCCATCATAAAACTTAGTGTGGATCCAATTCATTCCTGTCCCTTGTTACATAATGGGATGGACAAAGATCTAATCCATTAGTTAAAATAAACAAGAGAAAAGGCACCAGTTTTCATCTGGTATTAGGCTGCAGGGTAGGGTTTCTAGCCTCCAGGGGGGGCAGCGGCAGGGGGCTGGAGATCTACCAGAGTTAAAACAAATCTCCAGACTACACAGATCAGTTCCACTAGAGAAAATGACTGCTTTGGAGGATGGACTTTAAGGGGTTATACCCAGCTGAAAAACCTGCCCTCTCCAGGCTCCTCCTTCAAGATGTCCAAGAATTCCCCTACTCGGAGTTGGCAACGCTACTACAGGATCTTGGATGTCTCATCAACAGCTCCTATGGAATTGCTTTGTCCCTCTCCCCCATCTAGTTGAGCAGTAGCAACTCATCTGCATTTGGCACTGCATAGAAAATGAAGACCCGGCTAGAAAAAGTTTATTTTGCTCTGCAACAGACCTGTGTTTCTTTCTGAAAGATGTTATTTCTTCTAGAAGGCAAAGCTTTAATTTGCAAAACAATACAAACATGTGCAAACCCCAGTGCTGGTTTCTATAGAGAGCAGCCCCAACTCAAACACAATAAACAGGCTCTCAAGAAGAAAATTTGTCTCGTTTTGCACCTCCTTCATGATTGTCTGCAAACGAAACAAGTCTCTCTCCTGCAAAATCATGCACCCTTTGTGTTTCTCAGCCCTGTGAAAATCTAATTTGTGTCATGTTCAGTTACCAATTCAATAAGAGTCCCCGGACTCTCCTGCATATTGTTTATATTGTGCATAACAGCATAGCTAGACTCATTAGAGCTAACCTTATTCTTTGGCTGCACAGCTCCTGTGCTGTTGGCTAGAAGGCGAGCAGTTTTTCTGCAAAAGTGCTCAGGAGCTCCTTCACCCAGCCCCAGTTTTTAAGCTGCATGAGTGAGAGAGCAGCATGTCTAAAGGCAATTGTCATTTTTAGGACTGGGTTAAAGTGGCCGGCTTGCACTTGTGCTTGAGCTGTTGGCTGCTTTTTCTTGTCACAACTATTTTACAGTAAAATAATAAAGTTTGGGTCCAGTTGCACCTTTAAGATGAACATTTTTTTTTCCTGAGTATAAGTTTTCATTCACCACTGGACTCAAACTTTGTTCTGTTGATTCAGACCAATGTGGCTACCCAGCTGGATCTACAGTAAAAGAATGTACAACATAATGTTACAGGGGAAACAGTGAAATCCTTTTCAAAGATAGTTCAGCTTATCTTGTCTTCAGGCCAAAAGTATGTAATTTAGATAAATTTTCAGCTCCTGATTTTGCAACATTAGGGCAAAATAGAGGACTGGAAAGGACAATTTCTTTTTCAGTGAGGGGCAGCAGAGGGTGGATTGAAAGCTGTTACTGCCTAGTGCAAAATGTGCATGGATGGATTTAGGCTTTGCTGAAATGGTTGACAAGTTCCGTCTAAGCTCAGTTCTATCTAATGATGCTAAACTTGAGCAGCTTCTTAACAAATCTGCATTGTTTCCATGGTAATCTTCTTTCCCCCCTGCATTTTTAGGAATACTTGGATCTCCTTCCCAAGAAGACTTGAATTGTATAATCAATTTGAAAGCCAGAAATTATTTGCTTTCTTTACCATACAAAAACAAGGTGCCATGGAACAGGCTGTTTCCCAATGCTGACCCCAAAGGTAACTCATAGGATACAAATGTGAAGAAGTGTAGTGGTTAATCTGTCTTGAGCCATACACACGCCCTCCATTAAGTACACTCATTGTAGAGCGCAGCTTTATAGACTGTAAATAAACATGGCCTAACCTTGAATTCATTGACTGTTCTTGGTAAGCCCAAAGATCTGTCACATCCAACTCGTTGTTGCCAATTCATTTTTTTAAGGCTGAGTTCAGTAGGTTTACTATGATTACACAGCATTTACTCAGCTGTTAGTCACCAAGGGACCAAATCCATGTAATACTTTTTTCATTAGGACCAGAGGTCATTTCGGGGGGGAACACGGGGGAACGCAGTTCCCCCGGGTGAGGTGCAGGGGGGCGGGGCACATGACAAAGCCCCGCCCCCTGCTTCCGGCCACTCCGCTTCCAGCCCTCATTCAGCCAGGAGGAGGCAGGAGAAGAGGGAGGGTAAGTTGCTTCCTCCCCGCCTCTCCCCACCCCTGCCTGCCTGGGGCCAGGGAGGGCCTTGGCGGGGCTTCCTCGCACTCCTGCTGGCCTTGCAGGTCCACCGCCGGGCCCCTGATGTCAGGGGGTGTGGCATATGCTAATGAGTTATGCTAATGAGTTCCCCTAGCTCTTTTTCTACGAAATGACCCCTGATTAGGACCAACCAAAATGATACTCAAATATTTGGTCATCTCTAATAAAAAGGTTTCAGATGGATTTGGTTTCTTGTTGTGGATTTTGCATGGTCCAGTACAGCTATTTGCAGTTTTTTTTAAAAAAATCACCATGATGCCGGTTTTCACACATTGTGGTTGAAGTGTGAATTGTGAGAATTGTTGTAGGATCATTGAATTTGGCAGTCCTATCATGTACACCATAATTCCATTTCCACATTTAGTCGTGTGTTTCTGCCAGGTCAGCATTCTGCCTCCTGGCATTCATGTATAAATGGTATGTTGAAACTGAGGTAGATATCTTCTATCATGCATTGGAATAACTTGTTTCAGAAACACTATGTGTAACATGGTGTGAAGAGAATAGCACTACTGAGACGACTGCCACAAAACACTGATTTCAAAACTGTCTTCTCTCTAGCTCTTGATTTGTTGGATAAAATGTTAACCTTCAACCCTCATAAGAGAATTGAAGTAGAAGAAGCTTTGGCTCATCCATATCTAGAGCAATATTATGACCCAAGCGATGAGGTAAGAGGACCTTTGCTCAGCAGAAGTTGCTGCATTTGATCCAAACTTCTTTGGATGGATTGAAATGTACTATTGGGGGTCTTAAGTATAGATGTGGCTACTTCAGTGACTCAGACCATATTGGAATATTGATTGAGTTTGTTTCCTTTATACCCTGCCTTGCTCCTCAGGGGGGGCTTATATAATTCTCCTGTCCTTCATTTTAACCTCACAATAGCCCCATAAGGTAGTTTAGGCTGAGTGTGACTGACCTATGGTCATCCAGGAAAGCTTCCATGGCAAGAGTGGAGATTCAAACCTGGGTCTCCCAGTTCTTGGTGTCATACTCTAATCAGTACACCGCACTGGCTCTGGAATAGAATATTGCATGAAAGATATGGCTTCTAAAAATGTTAAAAGCTTTAACAGTATGTATTATATCTGTTTTAGGAACTACTTCAGTGTTTGGCTGTTTCTCCTCTATTCAGAGTAGGCTTCTATGGTGTACTCCTGAAATATTGACTAAAATAGTCTGAAATGCAGAATCTTCATGTCTGTCTAAATGGCTGGCAGCAATTTCATGTATTAAAACTAAATTTGTTTGTTCGTTTTTAAAGCCTGTAGCTGAAGCACCCTTCAAGTTTGACATGGAGTTGGATGATTTGCCGAAGGAAAAACTGAAAGAACTAATTTTTGAGGAGACTGCCCGATTCCAGCCAGGATACAGATCTTAAGTTGCAGTTGGTACATAAAATCATAAAATCTTAACTAAAAAATTCAGAATATATGATGACATTTCTTCTCAGACCAATACGTTGATAAGCGTTGAAATATTATTCTTTATCTTTAATTACTGTGGCTTTATAATCAGCTCGAGCATGTTGCTTGTTGGAACAACAAAACCAGTAGCACCACATGAGTATTCAGAGGGTATTCAGAAAGTGCTTTAACAATAACTTGTGTAAATTATTTATGATAAGCAAACACTTTCATCTCTTTAGTGAAATATGAAATAACCTAAGTATCTGATAACTTTAGGAGGGTTCCTAAAACACTTCCAAACTATTTTCCATTAGCACACTGAGGATTCTGCTCTGCAGCAGAAGCGATCTTATACTGAAATAGCTCAAACATCTGCAGCCAAGTATATACTATGGATGTTCCGAGAAGTGCCATTTTGGCCTAGAAAACAGTGTTTTTTTCTTGTCAGACATAAAGTACTGCTGAGCAGAATATGGAACATTTAAAAAGTCTCTTAAAATATGTTTTAATCAGATTTTTTTTGTTTCAATCACACCTATAGGGGCACCATTTTCTGCTTAAGTACAGACTGCTGCACAAAGTCCCAATGGTGCAATACGCCATTGAATAAGCATTTAATATTTTGCCATAATACACAGATCTTGAAGTCTGCAGATGTGCTTTAGGGCAATATTATCAAGGCTATGTATGCTTGGCAATAAAGCAGCCCCAAGATACTACACCAGGAAAAGCTGAATTTGGAGATGTTAAAGTAAAACAAATGTGGTGCTTACTTTGCATAATTTATTCTGTCTCTGGCAGTCACCAGAAGGAGCAAGAAACTATCCAAGTCACTCCCGATTTCTTCATTTGGCACTCTAACCCCTAAAGCTCCTCCCCATGCCTCTAGATTCTGACTTTCAGGCTTTTTTCACAGTCATAAAGTCTTTTTAAAATAATGAAATATTTCATAATACAGTGAAAGTTCATATTTACCAAATGCTGAATTCTGTACCCACTATTTAATTCTGCAGCTGTATAGAATTGCAGAATGCAGAGTGTTCCTGCTTGGGTGTTAATCTGTTGGATATTGTAACTCTGCATGCAAGAGGATCCACCCTCTCATCAGTTAGAGGCTGAGCCTCTTTGGCTGTTGCTTGCCTTCCATGTTTCATCTTATATGGAACCTCTCTTTTCTATGTCTTACATGGGCTTCCATTAAAAAAAGAAATCCCTTGATACAGATATTTATCTGTAAACTAGACTTTAATCTGTGCTTAAAAGACAGCTGACCAGAGTTGCGCTTGGAAAGGAACATATGTAGGGATGTGGAGGAGACAGTGGTTAATCCTGTTTGATCTTCAGTCAGATTCATCTCTCGTTCGGATTTTCCATTTTAAGAATCCAAGCTGTGGCCTGTCTTTTTAAAAGGGTCATGTGCCTTCTGGGTAGAGCATAATTTAAATAATCATTTACTATAATTGCGTATCTTTGTAGGATACTAAAGCCAGCACTGTTGTTGTAGAAATTAGTATAAGGAAGAAGCCAGGATTTGAAGATATTTCCTAAAATTTTGGTGAGGTTGTTGCTGTTGAAGTGCTGTAATATGATTATTGTTTTGATCTTGGGTATATAATTTAGGCTAAAATCCCGAACAACTGGCTGTATATCCATATAAGCATGCATATGATGCTGTTTATTAGTGAATGTGTGTTGGTTCCTTGATTAAAACATGCTTGTTCTCTTCCTCCTTTTCTTGCAGGATAAAGGCATTAAAGGGCTGGGCATACTGCACACAGGTGTTCTCTTCCTGGTTCCTTATCTCTGGCCATGTCGTGTGGTCTCTCTCAGTTTATCCACTAACTACTTCAAGCCATTCAAGAGGGCAGTTTCTGGTAGTCCTGGCTTCTATGCTTTCAACAGATTCTTTATTTATGCCTGAGAAATACTCCTATGTGTAATGTCCTTATTGGCATTTCGCAGTACTGTCCTTTCACATACATCTACTGTTGATACGTTCTATCTGCTTCCTTTCTGATTTGAAAGATGCAGCGTTTCGTTTCTGGTTTTCACCAAGAAGATCAGTAAAAAGATTTGCACCATGAAACAATTTTTCCCTTGGTTTTGTTAGTGGCATTTTAAGGAAAAGCTATGATTTAAGGCACTTTAAGTCAGTGGCATCCCCACTCTTTTGCACTTGCGTAAGCAGTAGAGGTTTACTTTAATAATACAGGCAAGCAGAGTGACAGCATAGTCCATATTAATGTTTATGTGCTTGTTCTGGTTTCTTGTACTGTACCTAGCAATTAATGCAGGGCATTTTACTCCAGACATCTACAAAACTTGCTTTTTTAACCAAGCAATGGAGGGGGAAAAACAAACCCCTCCCTTTTAGAGATTCTAGGTACTTGAGCAATGTTAAAGGAATGGTACTTCTAGAGTTCCTGCTGTCTCATATTTACAGACGCGTGACGAGAGAATGATTTAGAACAAAGTTGCACACTTGCCGTTTTCCTTTGTGGAAAGCATCTGTGATGTATATCGGTAGATGGGTTCCCATGTGATTTTTATTGTAATCTCAGTATACGATTGGGTACCAATAAAATATTTCAGGAGTCCTTTTTTAATATAGCTTTTGAATTTTATGTGGTATATCCTCTGATAAAGGAACACTGCATCTTTAAATGAGAAAGTTAGGATTTACCTTTGATCTCACAACATGTCGACATCTCACCTTTATTTCTCATAACTTGCCCTTGTCACAAACTCAGTGGATTTGACAGCCTGTCACATGAACTGCTGCTCTGTCAGATACTTATTCCAGCATTATTTATAATGCTGTGTTAGGGCCGCAAAACAAAGCTATCGCTCAGTCATGTTTCATCTATACCCTTTTTTCAATGACAGCTCTTCAAGTATTTGTTTCTGAAATTGTATGCTGTGGAGTTGACTAGATGTTATGTTCCAGTGCAGTGCCTCCTTTCCCCACTGCTCTGTGGTGAGAAATTTGCCTTGTTTAAGATAATTACTGTGCCCTCGCATGACTGTTAAAAGCTTTCTGTGCAAAGATGACTGTCTTAAGTGCCACATGCCTACAATTGAAAAAAAAAAAGTTACCTCCGAGTTGTGTTAAACGAAATAGGGGAAAAAAACTAGTCGTTTCTCTGCTCTGTTTTATTTTGGCAGTGGTAAAGAATGGATTGTATAAAGACTGCTTACTATTATGAACAAAATCATACTTGTAATTAATAAATCATCTTGTATCTTTATGTTAAGATTTCAGATAGCTTGATTTGCTTTTGATAAAGTGTTTAGATGGAATTGTGGCTTGTTTGGCTACTGTAGTATTTAAGGATGCTTGCAGGTGTATAGCACTCGTTCTGTTTTTAGTATATTTTAAAAACCTAGATTCTTGGCATGTTTACTCAGTATTAAGTCCCACTCAGATCAATAGGACTTACTTGCGAGGAACTGTATATATAGGATTGTGTGTTCCAGTTACCAATCTGGCTAAAGTTAATTAAGTTCCATAGAAAGCAACAGGACTTAAGTTAATCATGACAAACTTGGTTCTGTTGGTTTCAGTGAGATTTAGTCAGGTGAAACTTCAACTAGATTGAGGCTCTGGTGCAAAAGAGTGCTTACAGGACTCAGAATTTTAAGTTTTCCTTAATGTATATTTAAAATACTAGCCAGCTGAAGCTAATGTTAATGTGTGTGTCTTCAAAGGGCATTTTCTATGAACTCCTATGATCCAGACGCCTACTGTGTTAACCACATGTTCAGATTATTGTAGGGACAATCCTGGGCAGATGTCACAATCTCTGTGTTCCCACGCTTGACTGCTCATACTGGGTGTGAAAACTTTTTTCTTTGTCTTTCTGCACATCATACCTTACCAAAACACTGTCCCTCGTTGAGTTGAAAGCCCCAGTTGTCTACCCGCATGATCATTACAAGTTTAACATGGTGAGCTTTGAAAGATGACTGTTAATGAAAACTCTAGTGGTAGTAGAACTCTGATCTTATTATGGAATGGTTTTGCCACCTTTTTTGTTTGTTTTGAGTCCCTGTGTTGGTTTTGAGTTTTGTTTTTTTAAATTGTATTATAAACTACCTTATTAACTTTCCATCCCCACACAAAAAGCCATGGGCACGATGGGCTAATATCTGGTGCTTTGAAGCATTCTTTCTGTCTGTTGCAGCAGGTAGGCGTGAAACCACTAATTGCCATCATTGGATGCTGCTGTGCTTTGATCTCTAGTGGGATTTTTGGCAGAATGGGAAGTCTTTTAAAAGACTGTGCTTACAATGGTGTGCTTTTTGCATACACACTTCTAGTACCTATGCTGTTCCTATGTACCATTTCTGGAACTTCCTACAAAAAACGATGGCTACTCTGAGGTCACGTTAGTAATGCGGTTAAGAGTTCAGAGATCTTCGGTTTAAGGACTGCATCTGTCGTGGTTGATGTGAGCTGAATGGAGAAGTGGATATTGCCTGTTCCACTGTGTGAATTCCTTGAATTCTTATTCACTTTGGAGACTATGCATATTGAACAGGCAATATACTAAATTAACGCTGTCAGCCTGTGGATATTCTCCATTCCACTTGTACTAGTTATGACACATTCTGTCTGTCAAACATTCCAGCCTTAAGTTAACAGGTACCTTGCAGTGCATATGGGTGCATTGTGATGACGTTCTGTAGCCTGGCTGTGATTGAACTCTGCTTTAAGGCCTAAACTTTCCTAAAGCCATATGTTTGTGTGCCATTCATGGGGAGCCTGGTAATGCATGCTGTGCTTTCAAGAGACAACTGCATTAACAGAGGTTATACTTGATCATTGCAAAAGGACTTTTGATGGTGTTAATGGAAGACAACCTGTTTCCACTGTAAAAATGTTGAGTGTGAAGCTGCCTTATAACAAGTCGGGCCGTTGACCTACCTAGCCCAGCACTCTTGATCCTGACTGGCAGTTGCTTTCAAAAGTCTCTGGCAGAGGTTTCTCTCAGCTCTGCTAAGATAAGTTTTTGACTGGATATGCCAGGGATGGAACTTGGGACCTTCTGGCATGCCAGCCTAAAGCTCTGCTGCTGAGCTATGGCCCTGCCCACGCTATGATCTGTTCATAACTTGCCTGAAAGATGTTAGCTGACAGAATGTAGTGGGGATTTAGTAACTTTTATGAATAAACTGGTTTCTGTACATCTTTATTACACAGCCTGTTGCTTTAGTGTAACAATTTTAAAAACAGCTCAGATATCGCATTCATAGCCTATGATTTTATTCCCTTGCATAGTACTTCTATATTTATAAAAGCAATGTTTTGAAGCAATCCCGAGTTTAAGGGAAAGTATTTTTGTAAGTGTAGTGATTCAAGTCCAAGAAATTCTTTAACATAAGTTTGAAATACATTCATGCTTTAAAAAAACAGCAACACTGAAATACAATGCTAAAGAAATGAAAAGTGCACATTAGTAAAGTACATTCTAGTCATCTGTTTTGTAGCATGCGCTGTAACCAGGACTGAAATGGAATATTGGAATATGGCGATAGCGCTAACCTGGTGAGCCCAGAACAAACTTCTCCAAGGCTGCAGCAGGCTTACTTGGCTATTGTTGCCTTTTCTTGTGGTGTTTCAGTGTCGAGCGAGCACTCCTAAGGAAGTACTTTTGCTTTGTATTTGCTTTGTACTGTCGGTGCCTTAGTCACGTACCCCAGACATCCCACATAGCTAAATTTTAGTTCGTGTTTAAGTTAAAAACTAAAGCAGAATTTTATAAAAGTTTTCTGTATGTTACATTATAACTAAACATTTATATTGTGTGACAGATTTGTGATTTGGTTAATATAATATGTATAGAATTATTGTAAAGTAGAAAAAGTTTATATTTTGTCTTAATTCTGTTGATGTAAACATATATAATTTTTTTAAAAGATCAGTTAATTAAAGTCTTGTTAGTATATGCCACCAGATTCTTGTAAAAACAAATGTGACAAAATCATTAAATTGTGATCTTGTATTACCAAAAGAGTATAGTGCTGTGCATATGTAGAATGCTCAGAGGTTTTCGGGGGGGGGGGAGGAAATAAACTGCTAACTTTTGTATATTCAGGTAAATATCAGACTTTTATAGTACATCATGAAATTCAGTCTTTTAATTGATCCTAGGTTGTTGTGAGTAAATACTAAATATCAATGTTTCACTTTTAAGAATTATGAAAGTTCACTGGCTGTATTGTTTAGTCTGAGCCAGTTATGCGTTTATGACTTAGGTAGCCGTGTACATTAGCATTACATTGGATCAGTTTCAGACGTGATCTTGAGTAGTGCATCTAGTGGTTTTCACAGCACTCATATTAATAAAACTTTTAAATAGAACTAAAAGATGCAGAGGGTTTGACTGCATTCTTGTGCTTTTTGCCAAGTGAGAGAGCTAGCAGCTATTCCTGGTAGGCAGAAAAGGAGATGATATCCCTCAGGTGTTGTACATTTGGCTGCATCTTTCTTGAAGGCAGAAAAAACTGCTTGGAAGAGAGCACTACACAACCAGCATTCTCCCTGCTGGGGTGGACTAGGAGACCAAAATGGCCCTGGAAAGGACCCCGTCTTTTCCATCAATGAAGGGGGGAAGGAAGGAAGAAGAGGACCTGTCCCAGGAGGCGGGGGAGGAGCAGGCTGACTGCAATTTGCTCCCACCCACCTTCTGCAGGGGGAGGCCCCTGTCTCCTGTGAGGCAAGGGTCAGCAGCTTGCAGAGAAAGCTCCCAAGGCAGGGGCTTGCAGCGGCAGCAGTTCTGCCCAGCTTGTACAGGGCTACCCCAGAGTCAGCGTGGTTGGTGGGGCACACTCAGTGCATTCTGACCTCTTTATAAAGGCAATGGTGCACATCATAAATTTGACTGTTCAGGATATACGTGCAGAAAAGATTCTGTTGAAAGCCAGGCCCGGCCCCATGGCACAGGAGGGGAAAGTATGAATTAATGGCTCAGTTAGTTGAAGTTTACATTTACAGCTGTTACAAGCATCACAAAGGCAGATAGGTTGTTGCTTGCTTGGTGGCAGGAGGTTTGAAGGAAGTTCTAAGCAAGCAGGCTTTTCCCCCACCTCTTTTCAAGAGAAATCCAAGCCTCCCCCCCCCCCCCCCCCCCCCCGCACCGGCTGCGAGGAAGCACTGTTGTGGCTGATGCCTGACCGTAGATCCCTTGCATCCATGTTACCTGTATTCTAGGAAACATGAATTGGCATTTGGCCCAAGGTACAGCGTGCCTCCCCAAAATCACAGTGGACCACGGTCAGATCCAGCTTGTCCTAATCAAAGTGGATATATAAGATTTTGTAGTGTTTGAAAATATTAAGTAACACTGGCTGGATGTAGCCTGACCCATTAGAAATAGAGCCAATACTGGCCAATGTGGGTATATATGTCAAAACAGAGACTATTTAATACACAAAAATAAATGCAAGACACCCTTCATTTTGATTGTAGCACATGACAGGGTATCTTATGTAACAAATAGCAAAAAGGTGCTTGGGGTAACATGGGCTGCTCTAAGGCGGAACTGGAGCCTCTGTCAGCCATCTTAGAGGGGTTTAGATTGATCTTTAAATATTTGGTTATCCAGTGTAGGGAGCTGAATGCTGGAATACATGGAATATTGGTCCAATTCTGTATGGCTGTTACAGTATTTTGATAATAGACCGCATAAAGGAAAAACTTGCCACCAAGCAGGCAGTTTACAGAGCTTCCCATCCACCCCTTCCCCCCAATAATGTCCCTTGTTTCATTACAGATCTGAAGCTGTTGTTCAGTATGGAGACATCTGCTTCCACGGTTACAGCTACATCCTCAGGAGATTAGTCAACTGTTACAGATTTCAAAAGGGATGCTTTTCCAGACGCTGGTATTGAAAGCTGTAGCAAAATGTATGCTGCGTGAAGCAGGCAGTGGAAATAATAATCACTCTGCTGTTCTATTTTTAAGCTGCTTAACATTACTTCTTCAGTTGGTTGTCACCAGCCCGGGAACAGTGTAGTTTACAATAACTCTTACAGCTGTGGGAGCATTCGGTGTGCTAATGGATTTGCTTTTAGAAGGCTGCTGCTACCGCCCTCTTAATTGGACTTTGAAGCAGCCAGCCATGTATATTAATATACTGCATGCAGTAACTCTGAACTGAGTGGTCAGGTGGTTACTGCTTGAGAGCCATTCGCTGCTCCCAAGCAGTTCAGACAGAAAAGACCACGATGCAACTGAGGCAGCTGCAGTAGAACCAAAGAAAAGATTGGAGGGAGTAATATAATAAATTTAAATGCTATGAACTTGCAGTCAACTCATGACCCTTCATGGTGTTTTCAAGTCAAGAGACAAGCAGAGGAGGGCTTTCAAGGCAAGCAACAAGCAGAGGTAATTTGCCATTGCCGTCTTCTGTATAGTAACCCAGGTCTGTTTTGGTGGTCTCCCATCCAAGTACTGACCATGGCTGACCCTGCTTAGCTTCAAAGATCTAAAGCAGGGGTGTCGAGCTCATTTGCTGTGAGGGCTGGATCTGACATAAATGAGACCTTGTTGGGCTGGGCTATGTGTGTCATAAAATATAATGCCAGGTAGTGGAAATAGAAACGTTATCAAGGACACAAACACAAGGGTTTTTTTCTACTTAAAATAAAAACATGCTTAAAACATTAGCACTCTTGCGATATTTTGTTTATTTAACAGTGTCTGATAACTGACGCCTCTTGCTCTGAATTATTGCATCAAAATGTCTGTGCTGTTGCAATCTTGAGCATGCTGTTCAGGTGTGTATCTGTAAGCTGCAAACCTACAATGATGCAGCAGCAAAACTGGAAGAAGCAGAAGACAGCCAGTTCAACTGCAGGCCTGGTAGAAGCCCTCCAGGGGCCTGATCCGGCCCCCGAGCCGCATGTTTGACACCCCTGACCTAAAGAGATCAGGCTGGCCTGGGCTCTTATAGTTGAACTTAGTTATGCAGGACCCCCCCCTCCTTTTCCGGCGGAGAGACTCAAGAGGCTTGCCAGGGACAGGTTTGGAGAAGAGATGAGCAACAGAAATTGACTGGATTTTCACATCTTGTGCTGCTTTGTCTCCTTATGCCTTGTGCAAGCATCTGCTCATAGTGTAATGTGCAAAGTAAGCTAATCAAACACAGCATCTGCAGCAACTGCTGAGGTCTTACTGATTTATACCTGCCCCCAAAACCTGGGGGAAGGTACCCTGTGGAAAATGAAATCCCTTACAACCACAAAACTCTTAGGAAATTTCAGAGCTGCTTTTGCGAATTTTGCCAGCTGCACTGCTTGTGAGTAAACCACTTATGTAGATGAAAAATGACACAATGGAATGTGGTGTTTGGCCATGAGACTGAAAGGAATGGAGTTGCCATTGAAAGAACACAAGCTGCGGGGAACCGTCTCTAGCCCCGCGCTTGCTTTTGAGTGCAGCTCTCAGGTTTAGGAAAGCTAGCTGCCCCCCCTATAATACAGGAACAGTCTCGCCTCCAAAAATAAAGAGGTCCTGATTGCTAAAGAAGCTGCAGGAATAGCTGAAGCTATGACTTGCCTAAATAGGCACGCTGTGTGCTTTCTTTTCCTGTACTTTCAGAAATGGGTTCCAGTTGCGCTAAATCCCACTTCAATAGAGGCAGAGCTATAATTACAGCATATAATTAAATTAGACAGCGTGTTCTGCACTACAGGGAAATGTTTCAGGGAAGTAAGTACTGTTTGGGAGACCTTGTGTTTAAATGGCTCTTTGCTTCAGCTGTCAGAAGACAACATGGCACTAATAATATGTGGCCCGTCTTTACACTGGACTACACCTGAGCAGTATGTGATCTGTGTTTCTCCAGAACCTTCTGCCTGGCCATTTTTTGGGTAGTTGCTGCTGCAAGGTTGAAGAACAGGGCATTAAATTAGGGGTAGGTAGGCTTTAGGTGGGAGGGACACGGTGGCTCAGATGCTGAGCTGCAGACCAGAAGGTCAGTAACTTAGCAGTTTGAGACCCTAGTGCCGCTTGATGGAGTGAGCTCCCATCTCTGGCCCCAGCTCCTGCCAACCTAGCAGTTTGAAAGCAAGAAATTGCAAGTAGATAAATAGGTACCGCTTCGGTGGGAAGGTTACAGCGTTCCGTACGCCTCAGCGTTTAGTCACCGGCCATATGACCATTGCGAAGTCTTCAGACAGCGCTGGCTCTTCGGCTTGGAAATTCAGATGAGCACCGCCCCCTAGAGTTGGATTCAACTGGCTTTCAAGCAAGAAAAACTTTTACTTTAGGCTTTAGGTGGCTTGTTCTTCTGGCCTGAGAGCTATGGTGGGGAATCTGTTGAAGCGCCCAACATGCCAAAACCGCACCAAGCTAGCTCCCTGTAGCTTTCTACATGCTCACATGCCTGCTCTTATGCTGCAAAAGTGCTGAGGGCTAGAAACTTCTTTTCAGACTGGCTGTGTGCGCTGCACTGTATTCCCCTTCCCTCCCCGCTTCAAAGTTCAAGGCTTCTGTTGGGGGAAAGCAGAAAGGCTGCTGATGTTGGAGGTGGAGACTAAATCAGGGACCTCCCAGGTTGCAGCCACCTGCCCTTACCACTGACATATGGGAGGAGACAATAAGTGGGACAAAGGTGAAATTTGGCCATGCATGTAGCTGAAGGTTATCAGAACAGTTTGAAAGAGGAATGCTGGCACATTTTTCCAAACATGCCATGAAATAATTAAACTGATCTGGAAGCTGGGATTTGATGCAACTGCAGTCCAAGACAACTTGGGTAGTACATAAGTATAAAAAGGAATTGGTAAGATTTT